TATTTATTGAAACTCAAATGGTAAACTTTCATTTTTTCTGGTATTTAGTTTTTCTTGCTAACTAGTCATAAATTACTGCATTAACAAATGGTTTGAAACTTGAGTTGATGAATGGTTTACTGAGAATTAACTCTGTGCCTAGCAATTTTCTAAGTTAATCCTCATAACATCCTCATGATACTGGTGCAAATATTATACCAAATTTACAGAAGATGATACTGAGGTACAGAGAAGATAAGTGATTTTTCAAGGTTTGTGCAACCAATAAGTGGAAGCATTGGGATTTGAACCCATGCAGTCTGGCCCACACTCTCAATTTTCCCTTTATGATGTGAGGCACTGAGATAGTTCAATAGAGACTTTTGTCTTTTCCCATACATATATATGTTGATGGAAGTATTTCCACATACCCTTTTTTTTTTTTTTTTTTTTTTTTGGTCTTTCTCATTTTTATCTGTCCCAGGGATCAAACTCACGACTGCCTGCTTGCAAGGCAGGCGCTTATGCCACTGAACTAAATCCCCAGCCCCCATTTTTAAAATCTGTTACCATGCAATGAGCTTTTTTTTATTTTTAAAAAGAAGTGGTTTTTTCCTATGTATTAAAGTATCACATTTCTTTCAAGGCAAAGATGACGTGTTTATTTTTTGTTAAATGTCTGTTGGACAGCAGATCATTGATATGACAACCATTTGCAGTCAAAGAACAAGGTGGCTAATTTGGAACGCTTATCTTTTATTAAAGAAAATTGTAGAGCTCATCAGTAAGTTTAAAACTCTTTAACATCTTGGCTAATAGAAAACCAACAAACGGTCTTGTGGTTTGAAGTATTGTAGTTTCTTCTTGTGCCTTAGTGACCTATCGTGTAAGAGAGCCCTGTGCTTCTGACAGTTTCCCAAGGCTTGGTCCATTTCAGACATTGTGTTTTCAGCTCTAAAATTCAAATTCAGTTTTCCTTTACCCATTCTGCTTCTCTCCTTATTATGTTCATGTTCTTTTCTTCAAATATTAATATCAAGTTGAGGGCTTTCACACTGAATCATATCCCTAGCCCTTTTCTCATTTGTGCTTTTATCTTGAGACAGGGTCTCACCAAGTAACCCAGACTGGCTTCAAACTTGGACCCTTCTGCCTCAGCTTCCCAGAGTGCTGGGATTATAGGCATGTGCCACCATGCAGGCCCTGGCATCTCACCCAGGCATGTTGTTCTTTAAATCCTGGAGGTCAGGCCTTCTCTGTGACCACTTTTCCTGTACCACTCTCCTTTTCCTTCACTGCAGCCACCTGCCTTCTGTGCCTTGAACAAGCCATGTTCACACTCAGCTTGAGCCCTTTGCACTGGCTGCTGCCACTTCATAGAGCAAATGACTGCTTACCAGCCAGCTTCCTGTCCCAGGCTACCTGCAGAACCCTCCCTATCAACCTGTCTCAAGGAACTACCCCTTCTTCCTGGGATTCTTGAGTCTGTGCACCCTGCTTTCTCTCTACCCTCACAGCAGTACTCAAAGATTGTCGATGTTGATATTTGCTTCCTGTCTATCTCTCTCACTTCATTAAAGCTTTTATAGAGCTATACCCCTAGCCCATGACAAGCCTTTGCCAGCAAAGATTTTGTTCTGCCCACTCCTATTGGTACCTGGAATGGCCCTGATGTCATAGAATGTGCACATCAGCCTCCAGCTGAACAATTCTTTGGGCCATAACTGACTCCTCACAGTCTCTGTCAGTCCAAATTTTACTTATCCACTAGCGAAACCACTGAGTATTTCCTCAGGGCACTACTTTGCCTGGTTTATCTGTCTCAACATCCATTTGGTCTTTAGCGTGACCTCTCTTGCTTTACCTTTGTTATTTTATGTACCTGGTTTACCTCACCTGTGAGACTGGTTACTGCTAATTTTACCAAGTGTTGTGTCCATCTTAGCCTAATCCATGCTTCTACCAGAACACACAGCCACTTAGGAAATACTTGTTAAATTAGTATTTGAAGAGACAGAATTGCCTGCTGGTTGGGCAAGGAAAATTCTTAATTATAGAGTTTTGCATACCTATTTGCCTGGCCATTGTCCTTTCTCTCCTTGTCCCTGGGTGAGATGCCAGGGCCTGACACATTGTAGCACCCTCCCCCACCTCTCTGTGATGGCTAGAATTAATGAGATAATGTTACATGCACTTAGAAAAAGGTGCTGAATAAATACAGGTGACAGTATTGTTGTTTGTTATAATTATGTTCTTTTGAGTCCTGGGTTGTATAATGAGCTACAGTAATACCTCAGAGAATGTTTTAGGAATTAACTGTTAGATGATTATAAAACACTGCAGGTTTGTCATGGAGCTAGTAGTAAAGCCTGTTGAATTAGAAGAGATTGGGGAGACAGGGGTTACAGGAATTTTGTGTTTCTCTTTTACATATGGGAGTGTTCTCTTGCCTCCCCTAGACAACTCCCTAATTGAGCTGCTGAGATCGGAGCTTTCTGACATGCAGCATAAGACCTAACAATACTTGTTGGGGGTTTAAATGGCATTGAAAATCATTAACAAGACAAAAAGCTATGATTTCCCCAGATTAGCATGCAGGTCGGGATTTGGCTTGCTGAAATTCATTGTTTTGGTCTCCAGCCCAAACATGCTAGAGTCATTATATTGTCATGTGGTAATTAGCTGTTCCTTTAATACAAGTAATAAAAATTAAGCCTAAGAGGTACTTTAGCAATGCTTTTTACATATCCCAAAACAATATTCAAATGCTGTAGGCATTTAAAGTCATTCAACTGCATACAGTAAAGTTGGAAGCTTAATGTATAGAGATATTTGAGTATTCAGTCCCTTCCTTGTTCTGTGATCAGTTTTGATACTTCGGCATTGACCTTTAATCATGTTCAATTAAATATAGATGTTGTAATGAGTAATTAGGAGATTGCTGGAATTTTCATTTACAGTATAACATTCTGGAAATTTCTCCATATGTCTAGTTCACTTGATAATGTGCATGTAATTTTTATGTTCCTTATAGAATTCCTTATAGAATCAAAAAAAGGAAGCTATTTTCTCATCCAAGTAGACAGAGTGGTGGCCTTTTAAAAGGAATGTGCTGGCTATATTGACAAGAATTTTAGGGATGGAGTGCAGTATACCAGCTTAGTTCTTTAAAACTGTAATTGGTAATAGCAGTTGTGTGGGAAAGCAGACATGGGTGAATGTTAATAAAATTCTCAAAGTTCAAATCATAGTTGTAGATGGACCAGCTGTGGGCAATACAGCTCATTTCCTTCAGGCCATTTGCCTAGCACGAGGCCATGGAGGTAGAGGAAGAGGCACAGAAAGGTTTCCTGGGAAGATACTGAAATTCAGATCCAAAACCAACAACACCAACAAAAAAGTAACTGCACCTGAAATGTTCTATCAATTCCATTTTTCCTATTATTACTGCTCCCTAGAATCAACTCCCAAAATTGCTTTTGAAATCTAATTTAATATAAATATTTTAATGCTAATTAAAATAGTAATGAAAAGCCATAAATGAGAAAGCGATACAGTCAGAGACTATATACAGGCACAGAAGAATTGGCTAGTGAGTAGGGCTTTTTCATGATGGACCATGTTGGCATCAAAACGGCACTCAACTCTGCTGACTCGAGCCAACGCAGCCCAGTGCCGCCTCATGTAAACTCTACAGAGACACTGGCATCGCAGAGAGTGCCTGGCTCCTACTGGGGCCCAGATCTCACTTCCAGAAAGCAAGGGTGGTCTGAAAAATTAATGGCTCTGGCATCGGAAAATTAAGTGAGCTCTTGAATATATACCCTTGTTGATCCACCGTGCATGGTGTTTAGCATTCCACAATAGGAGACTAAATCTCCACAGCCATCTCACAAGTGAGGCTGGCGCCCATGCCAGAAATATATTCAACAGTCTTTCCAAGCCCAACAGAACTGAGTATTCTGCTCTGCTGGAACCTAAGAATTCCTAGGAAGTACTCCACCAGTGCCCAGCAGGTGGATTATAATTGCTTACTAGGAAGCAGAAGAAAAAAATAAAGATTGAACTGATACAGAAGAACATTTAATGTCTGTCTGTCTTCTGCTGAATGAAGGTAAAGCCAGAGACCAAGAGTCAGCCCTGTAAATTGCATGTCTGCAGTCTCCAACTTCAGATTAAAATCTGCTGTTAAGGAACTCTGATGGCAGATACCATATTCAGTTGGTCACAAGACCTCACAGAATGGCTTGGTTGCTGTCCTGCTCTTTGTATTATAATCAGAAGCTTGGTGACCTGTCTGGCCAGACAAGGCAGCTGCCCACTCCTGACTGTTCTCAGCATCTGTCATCACTAAAGAAGGGTGACAGTGAAAAGTGATCGCATCCTGAAATTGGTGGCCTTTTCTAAAGCCTGAGGGTTTCTTTCCTGTCCTTAGCAGCTGTCCTGCTGTGTCATAGAGTAGTCATTTGGGGCTAACTGACTTGGGTTCACCTTTTCTGTGCCCACAAACTAGCCAGGCAGCCTTGGGCCAATCCCTCCACTTCCCAGAGCTTCGGTTTCTTTTCCGTCCTATCTCTACCACCCAGATGTTCTGTGAACATTGCTGCTTCCACAGGGCTAGTTGTTACTTTCAGCGTCACGTAATGACTAGAGACTTTAAGCTTGCAGGCCCCTGTCTAAGCACAGCTCTAGGCAGTCAGGGATTTTTCCCAGGGTGCTTTCCTCCTTGCAGCCCATAAAAATCATTAAAGCATTGCTCCATACTGAGAGAGCTCCCAGTAACTCCCAAGGCCACTTCCACCCAATTTTCACACATTGAGGATCCTGGCATGGGTCTTTCCTTTGTCAAGCAGCAGTGAAGCCCCCAGCTGGCCAGGGATCTCAGAGCTCTATAGGAGGAGGTGAGACCCCACAGGAGCCTACAGGAGGTGGCTTCCTGAGCACCCAGAAAGCCACTTTCAGCCTTTTCTCCCTAAGGGTGGGGTCCAAAGTGGGCTGATGTGTGCTCTCCTGTTGTGTAGACCCTGTGCCAGCCTTGGATCTGGGGCAGCAACTGCAGCTCAAAGTGCAGCGCCTGCATGACATCGAGACAGAAAACCAGAAACTTAGGGAAACTCTCGAAGAATACAACAAGGAATTTGCCGAAGTTAAAAATCAAGGTTGGTGGAAAGCATGTCCCTTGCTTTTCTTTCTCCCTATTTTTTGTTTTGTTTTGTTTTTTGTTTTTTTCCTTAATTGTTTTCCCTATACTGTTGGGACTAGCTCGAGTTGTTACCCACATCATGAAGCCAGGGTGGAGCAAGATGAAGATTCTTTAAAGAGAAAGAATGATAATACTTAGCTATTTCGAAGTCACAGTTTTCCTCTACACAATGACTATGTATGATTTTATTGCCGTCAGACAGGACTGATCAAGAGTCTTTGAAAATCTCCTGTATCATCATGTGATAGGATCTGCCTTTTAAAAGACTGATGTGTTGCCTCTGGGCAACACCTGTCAGACAGCCAGCTCATGATCAAAGGGTCACATACAGTAAGTCATTTAGTAATTGCTGCTGATCCATTAAGGCTCCAGACTAGACACATCCTCACAGGCTGTGCTCTTACTGCTCTTTCCCTGTTGGCCTTACCTATTCATTAGGTGTCTCATGAAAAAAAAAAAAAAACCTCTTCTTGTGGTTGCCAGCATCAACAAGACAGAGAAGGCAAAAGTGGCCTGGCTTCTTCTGTCAGGGAGGAACAAAGAAGTTCCTCCTTCACCTAAAACCCAGATGTTTTCCAAATCCCAAAGCCTCCTAGCTTCCTGTGTCAAAAAAAATCTCAGGCTCTTTGACCACACCAGCAAGTTCTTCAGCCAACTCTCCATCTCAGAACAGCCTGTGAGTTTTCATGTGGGGATATGGGTAAGGAAAGGGGAGGCAGCCACTTGGCTGGTCCTCTGTGTGACTTTCTATTTAATAGGCTTAGAGAGCTACAAGGTACTGATTGTAGATTGTGTGGTCCTTTGGCTTTGAGAATGTTGGAAGCAGAGTTGGGAGGAGAGAGTGGCCATGGAAGATCCAGAGAGACTGAGGTGATGTGGGAAGTGCCAGAAGGTACCAGGCTATGAAGGCAGCAGTTCCCAGGACCCTTTTCTCAGGGTTCTCTGAGTATGTTTACTCCCTCAGGCAATGGATGATGTGCTAAAGCCTTCAGGTGAGGATGGCAGGAACTTGCTGGAGCTGAGGAACATGGGGGACAGGAAATTAGGGGAGCCAAACCAGCCCAGTCCCTACCAGTCTGGCTCTACAGAGAGCCTGGTGAGCTTTTGGGTCCTGAAGGCACAGCATTTGTCTTGCTTAAAAGCAAGACATTGGGCTTACTAAACTGTGATCCTTCTGAAAAAAGGCATTGCCTTTCCCAGTAGGAATTCTTCCTAGTCAGCTTCATCACAGTACCCAGGTGACAGGTAACCTGTAAATGTGCACATGTGGTTTGCACAGAGACACTATATAAAGAAAATGTCCTTTGTATTTGTTCCTTTGGATGTCTAGTTTTGACAGCCTACCCTTGATGTTTATTGAGCTTGTTGTGTGTTGGAGTTTACAGCCACAGGGTTGTGTGAGATTTTGTCTCCCCTCACCCTTCCTGGCCAGTGCCTCCATGGCCAGCACTGACTAGGAACCCACCAAAGTGGTGGGGATTGTTTCCTCCCAAGAGGCTCTAGCGTGTACTTTATAAATGAACACTTAATCCTGATTCAGGAACAAACCCTTGAAAGGAAACAGACGATTTGAGTCCGTTGGTGGCCACCACCTTACCACGTGGTCTTGAGCAATCTTGGTTGTTAAATGCCCTGTGTCTTGGGAGCATTTTTCTACTTTCTAGTGAGCTCCCTATGGGATGAAGTGAGAGTGGTATATGTAGCCCTCAACACTCAAGAAATTTTAGCTTTTTTTTTTTTTTTTTAGCCTGTCTTGCTATATAGCTTAGGTTGGCCTCAAACTGGCAGCAGTCCAGCAGTCTTCCTGCCTCAGTCTTCTAAGCGCTGGGATTACAGGTGTGCATCACTATACTTAGCTCAGCTGCTTCCTGAGCACTGTTGCTTTGTCAGAAATTCACATTTCTTTATTGATTACCAGTTTTCCCAATCTCCAGAAAAATGTCATTTTTTTTCTCCTCCTTGTCCTAGCATAATCCAGTCACAATTTGGAAGGGCAGAAGGTATGTTCACTTGTTTCCATAGTTACAGCAACCATGAAGATGGTCTAGGAGTAAGAGCAGGAAAAGAGCTTCTGAGTCATGTGCATAGACCCCCCATTGAAGATGAGTAAATTTGGGCTCTAGATACAGCAAACAAATGCCAGTATGTCAGTGTCTTCTGCTGTACCACAGCCTCCTACATATGGCTCACAGGGACACAGGGAATGTCCTGGATGCAGATCTGGTCAACAGAGAAGGGCTATGGGCTTGGACACTGCCAGCAGTGAGCAGCCCCTAGCAGCAAAAGACTTCAGCAGGCACAGACAACATGCTTCTTGGAAGGATCCCAAGTGTGTCACACCTCTGGGCCTCACTGGAACCATGCCAAGCCTATTGCATCAGGGTTTCAGCTCCTGCAATAACATTGGTGCCAGATATATATGTCATGTTCATTTCCACAGGCACTTGGGGTCTAGGTGTGATTCTGTCCCATAGGCCTAGGACACCATGCAGCCTGATGAGTAAAAGGTAAAGGCTCCTTTAAGAGAAGACACTACCTTTGGCATTCGGTAGAGCCCAGAGCACACTCCTTAGAGAGAGAAGACATAATTAAAATCCTCTGCTTCCTCAGGCATTTAAGGAAGAAACAGGCCTACTAGTATGCCCAGTGGAACCGATGAGAAATGTTCTGTGAGTTCCATAGTTCAGGCTGTACTCTAGAGTCAAAGTTTTAGGCAAGATCAGGACACTTCCAGAATGCCAGCCAGCTCTTCCTGAAAGCACCTGTTTCCTCCTTCCTAGTCCAGGTCTGTATGATAGTGAAGGCAAGCAGCACTTGTGCTGTATGCACAACTATGGCATGGAAACACCTGTGTAACACCCAGATGGAATACTCCCGCCAGTGGAGCCTCACAGTGTGATCCTGGTCAGGTCCTGCCTCCTTGTTTCATTCATGACCCAGATCTTCCTGACCCATCTTTACTAGTTGCTGGGAATGCAAAAATAAACATCCCAGCTTCCTTAGAGATGGGTCCATAAACACCAGGAAATGGTCCTCCAAAGTACTACTTTCAGGGCAAGGGCCACAGTACTCAAAGGGCAAGGAGGAATGTCGGTGGGAAGATGCACAGTAGGTGTCCTGCCCTCGGGCACCTATAGATCAGAGACAACCTATACATTGCTTTTGCTTGGACATTCGTGGTTTAGGCAGTTGAAGTGCCTGCTATTACCATGCAGGGCAAGAGAAAGACTTGCAGGGCAAGAGGAGCCGTGGGAACCCAGATTTTACTACCTGCTCAAGGACCTCGTCTGTGGAGCACCAGGCACCTGAATCCGCAGTTTTCACAACTGGCTCCAGGACACGTCCCAGCCTCCTCCCAGTTACCTGAGTATCTCTGCCCAAGCCCTCATCATCTGTGTGTTCACACAGCCCACATCTGCCAAAGTCTCTAGCAAAGGGTCCCCCCAGCACCCAAGTTCCAGGGTGAATCCCTCAGCTGATGAGATAGCTCTCTAACCACGTGGTCCTCACATTCTCAATCCTTTGTGAAACTGCAAAATGTGCCTGGGCCAGAGGAACCTGTAGATTTACCTTCCTCTGCTTCCATAAAGTCTACATGATGAAGAACTTTTTTCTTTGTGAGGAAGAAATTAAACCCACACTGAAACTTTATTAATCTTCCCTCAATAGAGAACTAATTGAAGACCAATGAGATGTTATTATGTGTTATCATTGAATACCCTGCCTCCTTTTTAAAATGTGCTAGAATAACCCACGCCTTCCTTTGCAGCAAAATCCATTGACCCTCCTCAGCCTAAACATTGCAAGTTCAATTTAACATTTAGGAAGTAACAGTTCTCTGAAAGGACATGTAATCATTGATTTTGTGCCAGTGTGGAGGAGCTCAAGTTTAAACCATGCAGCTCCTCCCTGGTTCCGAGAGCCTGATGCAGACTATCACACTGACCTGTGCTTCTTACTGTCAAGTTTTCTCTATTTCTTCCTGCAGAGGTTACAATAAAAGCACTTAAAGAGAAAATCCGAGAATATGAACAGACTCTGAAGAGCCAAGCAGAAACTATTGCTCTCGAGAAGGAACAAAAGTTGCAAAATGATTTTGCAGAGAAGGAGAGGTAAGCATGGGTCCTGGTAATCCCAGAGCAATGTGACATTTTCCCTCTGAACTTGACAAGATAGTTACAAGAAAGTTTGAAAATATTCCTGAGAATCAACCAGATATACACAAATGCCCATATGGCTCTAGGCAAAATTTTGGTTGAAATATGAAAATGTCCCTTGATCTTCAATTTATCAGTGAGGATGCACTGAGTGCAGTGAACTGGTCTTTCTTTGTTGGCTGATAGTGTCTGGCAGTCAGGGAGCAGAGGGTGTCTGTCGAAGCCCCACAGGTCCAGAGGTTAGTGCAGAGCTATAGAGTTAATCTACTTCATCTGAGATGAGAGCAGACAGGTTCTCCAAACACAGTTCTGCTGTAGGGAAGCTCTGGGCACATACAACTTTGCCACTTTCAGTGAATTCTGATATTCTTATCATATATACTCAAAATCTTAGTTTTCTATTTTGCCTTTTTTCATTACCTCATAGCACTTCATATATCAAGAAATCCATGCCAACTGGGCATCTCCAGTTCAAAAGTCTAAAATATTCCAAAAGGATTTAGAATCTGGAGGTTTAGTTCAATGGTACAGCATGTGCTTAGCACATATAAGGCCAAGAACTTAGCATGTTCTATTCCCAGCACACACATACATAAATATTAAGAATATTTGGAACATTTCATAATTTGCACTTTTGGATTAGGAATGTTCAAATAGTAAATTGTGTGTAAATACCCCAAAACCCAGTAAACTCCAAAGTCTAGAACACTGGTGGGTCTCTCCAGTATTTCGTATAAGGGGTACTCAGCCCATATTAGTAAACTAAGTGAACTGATGCAGTTTATTTCAAATGCCTTACTTTATCCAAAACTTCTCCCACAGATGAGCTGGTTTTTTTACTGGTGTGATAATTTTATGAAAGATTTCTTGTAAGGACTGTGAGGACTCTTGAGCTTGCCAATTCCAACTCTGTTACTTTGGATTTTTAGAAAGAAAAAAAAAACTCCTGAGTTAATTTAAGATATTCAGTTTTAGCCCTAGCATGAAGAAATTCATATTTACATTAACAGGAGGCACTAAATTTATAGTTAGGAGTAAAAGAATAGGTTTGAGCATGAGTAACATGGAGTTTTACTGTGACTTAGCACATCACTTGGACTTCTGTAAGGTGAGCTCCACAGAGATCTCAGGAAGTGGGGCTGAGTATGTAGCATCTTCAGTGCCCTGAGAATAATCCCTAGCCTAGCAGCAGCAGCACCACCACCACTACCAACACAATTCAGGTATCTCATAAGATCTCTTGGGAGTACCTGTATGGTTTAAAAGCAGGAGGGGGATACTAGGTTCCATTCATCCAAAGTCTACTTGGCATCAGAACGTTGCCAGCCACTTAATACATTGTCTCACTGAGCAACCAGGATGGATCTACACCATCTCATTTTACAGAAAGAAAAATAAGTCATAGGCTAGGTACTTGCTAAGCTTTTGCCGCTAGTAATCCGGGCTGCAGCAGGACTGTGTGACTCCAAACCAGGCCCGCCCAGCCACTGCAGCTGCTGCTTCAGTCATCATGGCCTCACTGCAGCACCAACATCAGTCTTTAATGCACGCCATGCTTCTGGTAGAGGCTGACACCACCTCTACCAGGAGAATGTGGCAGGGTACACCCCCAAGAGAAGAGTGAGCAACACAACTGGAGCTCTGAAGATGGTGACCCCCTTGGCACAGCTGATGGGGAATTGGTCCTAAGTAAATGCTTCTTAAGAAAATATTTCTTAAAGAGATTTTTCTTCACGTTATTGATAACTAGAGAAAAATACAAGCAATTTAATGTCCTACCAACAAGAAATGGGTAAGTGAAAGACAATCCCTAACTAGAATGTTATGCATCCATGAAAATCATAGTTGTGTGGAATTCAAAGTAACCAGAGAAAAGTATTGAACATAATATCAAGTGGAAAATTCAGAAAGCAGCATTATATGCAGTGATCTGCCCACAGCAAATTCATGTGTCACAAAAGTGTGGAAATAAACTTATTTGGGGACTCAATATTATTCAGTTGACTTTTCAAATTAGATAAGAGTGATTATATGAAAAGGTATAAAAGCCAGGCAAAGAGGCACATACTTGCAATGTCAGCTACTGAGAAGGCTGAGATCAGCCTTGGCAATTAAGCGAGACTTTGTCTCAGAATAAGACCCTATGGATATAAATTACTGCAAGGCCTGGGTTCCTGTGCCACAAAAAATAAACAAAAGATGGAATGACTATTAGGAAGAAAAGATAAAGTTAAGTTTATTATTTCATTCTTAATTCCTTTTTTTTTTCATTCTTAATTCTAAAAATGGCATTGGACATTGAATTTAAATATTAACAACTAAAGGTAAAGATTATAGCTGAGTGGTACTGCTGGCCAAACATGTGCAAGACCCTGAGTTTAGTCTCCATCAATGCAAAATAATAACAATAATGATAATATTTAAGTCACATACATACTGAAAAATCTTGGGTTCATACTTTGTTTTTAATAATTTTAGAGTAGAGAAGTATAAGCATACAAGAAAGTGATATAAGTAAGACTAAAGCCATATTTAAAAACAAATAAAAATAAAGTTTTAAAACATCAACAAACTGGGAAGGAATATTTGCACCACCTAAAGACAAAGAACCAATTTTCTGTATATGTAAAGAGCTCTTAAAAATTGATAAGAAAAAAGGCAACTCTACCAAAAGTAGGGAAAGGCAATAAGCAAGCATTTCCTACAAAGAGAAAAGTTGAGCTTTACTCAGCAGCAAAATATTAAGGTTGATTTTATCAGTGTTGGCAGGGTATACAAAACACTCTTAACATGTTGTTGGTGGCGTTTAAATTAGGCTTTTTGCTGGGAATTAACTAAGGATCTATAAAAACAAAAAAGAATTGGACAGAGCCTTTGACCATTGTAATTCCTCTTTTAGGATTCTATCTAACAGATTTACTCTCAAAATTATGCAGCAATATCTCCATAATGACCATTAAGGAAATGTTTAGCAGAAAGAAACTTTAAAAATTTGTGTCCACAAAGGTTTAAGTTAGTTCTTCAGTAAGAGTAAAGGATAACTATATGTGCTAAAATAGAACATTTCCAAAATTGGAAACAAGTGTAAAACTTTAGAATGGTGTGTGTTATGATCTCCTTTGTATCAAAAGTGAGTAGGAGCTTATTACATTGTAATATATTACATATTAGTATATATTATACTGTAATATGTTATATGTTAGTTTATATTTCACCCTGGTGCTTTACATTTGTTTATATTACTGCTGTAGTATATTACATGTTAGTTTATATTTCCTATGATATCTTACATATTAGTTTACATTGGACTGTAGTGCATTACATATTTGTTTATATTATGCTACATTACTTACTATATCGTATTTCTGTACATACAGAAACATTTTAGAAAGATACAAAAGAACTGAGTAGAAATGAAGCCAAGGAGTTTTCCAAGTGCTTATAAATTTTGATTTTTGTAAAATTCTGAGCATCTATTAGTTTTATATTTGAAATACATGAAAATACTAGCATTGCTTTTTCTACGGATAATGGAAATTAGGGTGACTTTTTAGTTGTATCATTTCTCCTTTTCTGTATTTCCAGGTTTATTATGTTGAGAGCATATGTTATATTCATGTGATATAAAAACAATAAACTTATATTTAGAGGTTTTCTGCAGATTAGGAGAAAGCTGTGCTATTTACTGACCCAGGAATTCATTTGGAGATCGTGAGAAATATAAATATGTGGAATGTAGTTGGAGACACCCAGAATCTCCCCCTTTGGTTCTGCACTTGCATTTGCATTCCATTATAACAGAGCTGGGACAGCTGTCACATCTCTTTAGTACATCCTTTATTCCAACAAATTCCTTCTTTGTGTCAGCAGAATGTAAATGTATCATTCTTCTCAGGCTAACTTCAGAAAACAATGAGTACGTAATGATGGTATTTTTTCTTTTTAATATCTGGCATCTCAAGAACAAGTGACATTTAAGATAACCTTCCGTTCCATGTATATCAAGACCTACAGGATACACACTTTAGATTACATAATGTGAGGTTACAACATTAGGGTGCAGGAGATTACGAGCAGACCCCAAGGCGTATAGGGGATTGGGAGCTACAGCCAATTGTGTGCCTGCCACCAGCCGGCCTCCCAGAAAAGAGAGGAAATGAGAAGAGCTCTAAGGTACTCAGTGCAGCTCCATTGATGAAAACAGGAACTAATCTGGCTTCCTGTTCTTTCTTTCCAGAAAGCTACAGGAGACACAAATGTCAACCACCTCAAAGTTGGAAGAGGCCGAGCATAAACTTCAGACTCTGCAAACAGGTTTGATGCTCTTCATCCTAGTCAAGTTGACCACCTGAACTGGGGGCTCGTGGTCAGTTTCCTGGCCTGTCAAGGTCCCCTTTGCTACCTGTTGCAGAGGAAAGGGAGCCCACGCTGCAGAACTGTTCTCCAGCCCACCTGGCTGCTGCACCTGATTCCATTAGTCATGGCACTGAGTTGTTAATGTGGAGGTGGGAGGATCTCTGCATGCCATTTCCATCCCTTCCACTGCCATCCTCTCTTCCTGCTCTTCAACAAACATATCTAAATCACCAAACTGTCAAGGAGTGACATTTCATTTGGAACAATAATAGAAGATAGAAAAGAGGGGAAAAAAACTTTATTTCTACCCTGAGTGAAGTTAAAGAGAACAGTAATAGCAGAACCTTTAAAATTTAAGTTAACCAAAAAAGGTTATGCTGAAGTTTCTTTAAACTTTTTTCTTTTTCTTCTATTTTTCTCCCCCGAAAGGGAAAAGTACTGTATCTTTAATTTCAATGAGAGAAAAAGTTAGAATATGTCATAATCCAAGTTAAAACACAAATGACAAAGGAAGAGAGAATCAGTTAAACGGATGAATTATATCCATGACTTAAGGGCCAGTCTAGGGGTGTAGCTCTGTGGTGCTTGACTAGCATGTAGAATGCCCTGAGTTTCATCCCCAGCACCGGAGAAAACTGAAAATAAAAAGCCCTGTAGAATAAGGGGCAAAACATAGAAATAAGTAGTTCATAGAGTAAATATAAATAGCTAATACACGTAAGGAAAATTACACCAGTGAAGTATTATTTTAGCTACCAGGCAATTAGATTTTACATACATATGAATGTAGTACTGGGGATCGAACCCAGGGCCTTTACAGAGCACATTCCCCTGCTCTCTGCTTTTGTTTTAACCCAGGGTCTTACTAAATTGCCTAGGCTGGACTTGAACTTAGGATCAATCCCCTTTCCTTACCTTCTCAGAGTGCTAGGATTACAGGTGTGCACCACCACACCAAGCTCTGGATTTTTTTTTTTTTTTCAATTGATAGTATCCAAGGGTTGATGAGAGTAAAGGAAAATGTTCCTCACTTATGATGCACATGGGAATACAAATTATCTCTTAGGAAACCTAGTGAACGGTATTCATGGAAAGTTTGAATACTCAGTGCTTTAGCCAGCTGCACTTCTAGTTATCCTGAAAGGGGGCTCATTTTTTTACTCATATTGCATGTGTCTTCACATGGAGAGATTTCTGTGCCCTACACCAAGGGTGAAGGCAAGTCTCTAAAAATATTACTAACATCCTACCTTATTGGTGGCAGGGGCCACATAGTTGTGCAGAGATGTGTTCTGAGATAAGTCCCACTGAGGGATTTTGTACTGGTGCAGATATCAGATGCACTCACATACTTCAGTGACAGAGTAGGCCAGTTACTTGTCACAGCCTCTTGACACCATAAACACAAGATAGATAAGCCTGTGCCTGATGTGACCCGGCATGCTGTCCCAGTAAATTTGGGGGTAGGGGGGTAACTAGGAGTATATTTGATGGGCATTACTTTACACACCTGTAATCCCAGTACTCTGGGAGGCTGAGGCAGGAGGACCATAAATCAAGCTCAGTCTACAAAACTTAGCAGTTTAGCAAGACCCCATCTCAAAAAACAAACAAAGGCAAGGGGCTGTGATTCATTGAAAATTGTGGGTTCAATCCCAGTATCACCATGCCAAAACAAACAAACAAAACCCCAGTACCTTCTAAAATAGTGATGGTTTGGCATAGCAGCGCACACCTGAAATTCCAGTGCTCAGGAGACTGAGGCAGAAGGATTGCAGCAAGTTTAAGGCCAACCAGAACTGCATAGTGAAACCTTGTCTCAAAAAGGTCAAATAAATAAATAAATGAAATGTACAATCTAGTAAATGTGTAAACCAGTAACATAGTCATACATTACCATGATCAAGTATTGGGCCCTGTAAATAATTATACATGTTGTATGTTTGCGCAGCTGGCAGTGCCACAGGTTTGTTGCACTAGCGTCCACACAAACACAAGACTAGTGCCTGGTGCTGTGATGTGAAAATGATTAGGACAGCCTTGGTAAATGGGAGTTGTCCACCACCATTCTCATCTTACAAAATTGCCTTCTTATATGCGGTCTGCCATTGACAGGAACATTGTTATACAGGGTGTTACTCTATGTGCAGTTACTTATGGAAATATTTTTAAATGATAAGAAAATGTTGAAAAGTAGGAAATCTGTGCAGTAAACCATGAACAATAATTCTCTTTGGAGATACTTGGATTGAAATGAGATAGAAATGAGAGGAACTTTCTGTTCCATTCATGGTACTTTGATCATCTTTACCTGCTTTGGGGTTTTGTGTGTGTTTGTGGTGATCATTGTGGTTTTTTCTTTTTGTTTTGTTATTGGCTTGTTTTTTGCAGTGCTGGGAATTGAACAAAGGACTACATCCAGGCCTTTTTTATTTTGGGATTGGGTCTTGCCAAATTGCCCACACTGCAGTCCTGCCTTAGCCTCTCAGAATTCTGGGATCTCAGACATGACTTACCATGTCTGTCACTTTTGCCTGTTTTGAAATGGGGACATATTACTTTTATACTTTTACTTTTTAAATTTAATTGAAATAATTAGTATTTTATATCATGGTTTTCTATTCTTGCCTTTTAGCCCTGGAAAAAACTCGAACAGAATTATTTGACCTGAAAACCAAATATGATGAAGAAACTACTGCAAAGTAAGTTCCTGCTGTTATATTCATGTCATCCCTGCTTCTGCTAATCCATGAGAGATTGGCCTGGCTGGTTTGAGAGGTGCCTGGCTTCAGTGCCACCATAATGACTTGGTGTCATTTCAGGGAATCAGTCCCATCAGATCAGTCCCCCAGGTATGACGGCAAGCAAGCCAGTACTTCTTCTTTCCTTCATTATTATGAGCCTACTTGATGCCTCTCTTTTTTCTGTGGGAAGTTTGGGGAAGAGTCAGCTTAGAACAGATACAGCATTTGGGCCATTTGTTTACAGAGCTTGGTCTGGGCAAATCACTCAACTTTTACCTGGGCCTCCCTTTCCCTCAGGGCCCCTAAACAATATTAAGCATATTCCCGTGCAGTTGGACTGGTTCCTGTGACCCCTAAGAAGTGAACCTGTGTGGGGACATATTTTTGGGTAGATGGTCACTCAAGGCTTGCTTCCTGTCTGACTCCTGTTAAGAGAATTCCACATAACTCATTATGAATATACTTTGTGGCACATACCAGAGAGAGGACATGATTTTGCCATAAGTCATGAGAAGATGACGAAGATCACTCCTAGTCTCTTTTGCTAATGACCAGGCAAGCAGTACCAGACCGGTGTTTGAAATGCTTTTTCCTATGCTGGAAGGCTCTTCTCTCCCAGAAATCTGTGTGCCCGACAGCAATGGTGTTCTGGGTGCCCAGTGGGCACTAGTGAGGGTAGTTCTGAGTAGCCCTCCCACTCCCCAACTGGAGCTCCTCTGCAGGCAGAGGTGCTGGTGCTCAGCGTTTCAGTACCCCAACACATTTGCTCTTGGGCTTTGAGGCTGCTGCCCATCTACTGCCCTCAGGATACTGAGTAGGTGTGCTCCTGACCCTTTCCTCTCGGGTCATGCAGTAACCCAAGGCCTTGAGAGCCCCGCTACACCCATTTTGCCCACAGACATAAAACTTCTGCACAGAGACAAAAGCATCCTGGTCAGTCCCTGGCTGACTTGCCAGACTGCTTGTGCCCCTGAAATATCTAAGCCTTGTGGGAGCCACAAATCATTTAAGCGCCTTGCTCTACATGCCAAAATAGAACTTTCTGTATGCAGAATGACCTGGGTCTTAGGGAGGGTAGAGGTTAAAATTTTGCTTTGAAATGTTGTGCATATTAACTCCTTGTGTTACTGGGGCAGTGCTATTTGAGAACACAGCCACCATTGGCTGATTGAAGGCACCCTTGCCACACACACACACACACACACACACACACCTCAAGCTGTAACCGCAGCAGAAACCACACCAATTGCTGCAGTGAAATTCAGTCATCTTGACAAGCCTCTTAGTTCCTGTACCCCCACCACACACAGCTTTTTTTTCCCCCTCAGTTATTTCTGTGTAGTCTTTATTCTACCTGTACCATGTTTTTTCTAAAATAATTTGATTAGTATATGACTCATTAGTTAGTGTTTCGGCAATTATTTCTTCTCCACATCATTTTACTGGCTGATATATTTCTATATGGCAGTAGATTTGATCATACTACTAGCTTTCATTACTTCCATTAAACCATACCTTTTGCTAAAAGGCATCAATACAACTTACATATCTAATTTTGTGTCTCCATAATTGACCAGTTTGCTCTCCTATGCATCTTAAAAACACTTTCATGTTTCAAGTATTGGCAAAGATGCAGAGAAAAAGGAACTCTTGTACCTTGTGGATAAGAATGTAAATTAGCACAGCTATCATGGAAAATAGTAGGAAGAGTCCTCATAAAACTAAACATAGAACTACCATATGATCCTGTATTCCCACTTCCTATAGTCTGCTATGTAGCCCAAGAAAGTGGGATGAGTGTGTCATATAAATGAAGGCGTTCCCCTGTTCAGTGCAGCATTATTCACAGTGGTTAAGATCTGGAACACCCTTAGTGTCCACTGGTGAATGAATGGATATAGAGATTGAGGTGTTTATATACAGTGGAATACTATTTGGCCTTCAAAAAGAAGACAGTTCTATCATTTGCAGGAACATGGATGAATCTGGAGGACATGCTAAATGAATAAGACAAATTCTGCATGATTAAAATGACACTAAGAACATTAAATCTGAAAGCTGTCCTGGGAATGAGTTTAATCAATCCAGGACCCCAGAGGCTGGTTCTTCTGGTCTGTAGATCACTCAGTGAACTTGGCCTATTGGCATCACGCAAGAAGTGGTACTCACTGACGTGAACTCAGTGAGAAATGGTCTGGACCCATTACCCTCCTACTGGTGTATGTTAACCCCAAAGAGACTTTTCCCCAAAACCCAAATAGATGAAAACTGACGCATTGCTTTCTTGTTTCATAAACCTACAGTAAATGGGAACTGGAGTCCAGAAATGTGGGGGAAGGGGCAATTATTTTGTTTTGCAAAGATGTCTTTGTATGGGGACAGCTTTTGTCCCCTGACCACTGACAGGATTGTGGCCTCTCGTGTCCTGCCTAGCTGTGAGAGTGGTGGTGAGCAGATCACGTGGAGCAAGAGGTTGGCTTGGGAAAGTAGCAGGCAAGGCTCAGAAATGGCAGACATCCCCAGAGACCATCTCATGCACCAGATTCTGGATCCTGAGTTTTTCTGGCTCAGCAGGGAGAAGGTCATTGTAGCTCTGTGTGATTGCTATTGGGATCCAGGGAACAGGGCACAGAGTCTGGCAAGGTCTTTGCAGGAGACAAGCAGCATTCCCAAGGGGACGTACAGAAGCTGGTCAGTATCCTGAGGTGCAGGAGGAAGGAGGGAAGCTGTGAAGTGCAGCACAGTGGCCAGTGCTAGCAGGACTGGCCCATACCCCAACTAGAACCCAGAAGATGAAGGCTTTTATGAGGAGCTGTAACTCCATGCCTTACCCTGTCTGCACCTGGACTCCCTAGAGAATGGGAAGGAAGAGAATCATCAAGGATACTTCCTCAGAGATGGTGACAAAGGACTTGGGAGCTTTTTTGTTGTCTTTTGCATTAGGATCTCATTGTGTTGCCCAGGCTTGTCTTAAACTTCTGGGGTCGAGCCATCCCCCTGCCTCAGCCTCCTAAGTAGCTACAACTACAGGTGCAGGCCATCACACCCAAATGGGTCTTGGAACAGGAAGATGAGTTATGGTCATGTTGCAGAGAGTTTATGGAAGAGCCAAGACAGGCTGGTCTTTAAGAGAACCTGCCCACGGCTCTGAAGGATGGGCCCACCAGGGTGAGCAGGTTGACAGGTATGACAGGACAGGGCTTTGGCTTGACCCTAGCTGGCACCTCCCTTATCAGAAAAGGTTTGGATGCTAACAAGACTAACTGTGTATTCCCCAGCCTATTAACTCATAGAAAGTGTAGAAAATGGCCTATGGTGGTGGGGTTGGGGTTGCTTTCTTAACTGGGAAAGCAGAGGTCTCAGTATTAGTGAGCCCATATAAGTACCCCTTGCACATGGCTCTGCCCTTATTTTTTCTGAAAGGTTAGTCACTTTAGCTATCTATCTCAATTGTAACCTATGTATGTTTAATTGGACCTAATGTGTCCAATCATAAATGATCTTAAAACATTTCAGGACATTATCTTCTCTCTGACAAAAGGAATTCTCTACTCTGGTGACTGCGAATATAGGGAGGGAGTTGGGGCAGAGTAGAAGGTGGACTTTGGAGATGGTGTCTATATGTATGAGTTTAGTCAATCCAGGACCCCAGAGGCTGGTCCTGCTGGTCTGTAGATCACTCAGTGAACTTGGCCTATTGGCATCACACAAGAAGTGGTACTCACTGATGTGAACTCAGTGAGAAACAGTCTGGACCCATTACCCTCCTACTGGTGTATGTTTTGGCCAGGTCATGATCTCTGCAGCTCGCCTGTATGATGGGAATAACTCCAGCTGCGCATTGGGTAGTTGAGAATAGCCATGAAGGGTGCATTGTATGCAGCACCCATCATAGTAAGAGCCAAAGAACTATCCACACGTGCTCCTGCTGACTCTGTGTGCTTGGCCCAGGTGGTATCATCTTCTCATGGCCTTGAGGGACACACACTACATGCCTATATTCCCATTCCCCATATTGGGAAGAAGCCTACAGGTCAGCCGCACCCAGGCTGGCCGGGACCCATTGATGGTGCACAGTCATCACCATGCGTCAGCTGGGACATGGGCTGACTGGGATGGGGACAGCAGCAGTAAAGTTTTCTGTGTAGGCTTGAAGCAAAATGTAATTAGCCTTTATGCGCAGAACAAGGCCTCATTGATGAACACAGCTGGTCTTTGTTTTGTCCTGTCATTGAGAGTGGGAGGTAAAAGTGTTCCTCTTCATGTTTATTAATGCAGGATTCCTTAGATAAATGGCAAGCACAGTTTCATATTTGTTGGAACATCGGGGGGCTTGCCAAAACAGTTGTTGTGTAAGCGGATTGCAGGGTTGCAGATTAGAACTGTTTCTGGGTTAAATAAATGAATTATTTCTGTTGCATTTTTTTTCTTTTTTAGTGAAAATGCCCCACCTCCTCAGATGGTCACCCTGTGTCCATCTTCTCCATCTCTTTTAGCATGTGAAGATGTAGCACCCTAGAGAACTTGAACTGAGTCCCACAGATCCCATAGGTGTGGATTTTGACATTTATACAGTTCCCTAGGTAGCCTGGGAGGTGCACAGGTGGGCCAGTTTCTTTCAGCAGGTAGCAGCTACCCCAAAAGAAACTTGGACTACTCTTGTTGCCCATGTCCTCGTGTGCATATCACACAGCTCTTCACTCACCCTTGGGTTTAAGTTGCTTGTGCATGCATCAGCAGAGTTGCCCTCCCAGCTGACAGATTGGGGTTCTAGGCACAAGTGCAGGAATTCCTGTTGTGTGTGTTTGTTCACTTGTTTGTTTGTTTTCAGTAGTAAGAATTAAACTGAGAGCCTTTGCACTGACCCATATCCTAAGCCCTTTTTATTTTATATTTTGAGATAGTCCCACTGTGCGCTAAGCTTGAACTTTCTGTTCTCATGCCTCAGCCTCAGCCTC